GAGTTACTTGTAAAAATCGTAGGATTGCATGAGATTGTCCACCTACTGTAGTTGGATTAATTAAACAAACCTATTATATAAATTTGAGTATTCTCATTGCCTTCCACAGACTCCTGTAATTTCCTTTCTTATCTGCCATACTAATAAAACCAATCTTATCACTCTTCCCATTTTACAGGAGTCACGGCCTTCTTTCTCAGTAGACTTGCCTATGAAATCCTTGTCTTTGGGTAGTGATCTCTAGGTCGAACTGTTTACCCGAGTTCCTCTGTAGTGACGGTCCTCTCCGTCAATTCTATCAGATGGCCATTTGTGAAATGAAGAATAGCCTACAGTGGGGAACAGAAAGAACCCCAGTTAAATACTTAACTTGTTAGTCTAACTTAACTCGCGCGATGGTTCATCACAATTGTATGACTTTTCACACTTCGCCCGTTTCGAGAGACAGAATCTATTGTTAACACCCGCTACTTTGTTTGAAAATACCTTTCGATGGGGAATATATTTCACAACCCAATGATACTTCTGTTCCACATTGCTTTGCAAAATCTTGAAATGAACCCGAGACCAGGGTGTTTCCTGTGGAGCATGGCGAATTCAGGTCAATTTGTGAATACGTGCACCCAAGTACGAGTGTCCGAACTGCCTTTGTAGCAAGTATATGATTCAATAGAATTTTAGACATATGTATGCCGATAGAACGGACTTGGATGTTTGCCAAAATGACTTCTCAATCGTAAAATGGGAATATTTGCAGAATTACGACAATCCAAAGATCCATTGGTGTTAAAGGAACTCAATGTCTTCTAAATGTCTAATAGGGCAAATAATGTGAACTTCATTGCTCATAGCAAGATTTCCTGATTAATAAGCAGTGAAACAGAGCGTGAAACGTCTGCATAGCGTAATAGTCTTTTTTATTAGCGCTATAGTTGATGAGGCTAAAATTCCATACCAGAAGCCTAGAACATCAATGAATGCATGATAAAGTGGTGCTGTACGCCCCCTAAACACTTCGATAACTTTTTCCAAATGTAAGCAGCGACATAGTTGGAAAAACTGCCTTTACGGCCGTCTAAATATCTATTCCCCCATCCAACTGTCTTAGGTAATTTGTGGTTAAACATTATATTTTTGGTTAGCGAGTGTAAATAAATATTTAATTTTTTGTGAAGTGATAAACAAATATTAAATTAACGAAACTTATATTTGTTTCAATGTACTACATAGAAGCAACTCAATCAGCATAAACTCATGTTGAAGTGGATCCAACAAAGCAAAGGGAGACCGGAATGGCCATTTCTGGCTCATTAGCCGTCATCAGCCACTCATGTTGCCTACTGAGGGAAATTCACACTTATATTGGCAGAATTTTACGGAAAAAAAGGAAATTTGAACTTATATTGGCGGAATTCAACGAAAACAGGGAAATCTGGGTTACTGAAAATGTAGAAGTAGGTGATTGTTATAAGGCAAAGGCAACAGAACCTCTGACGACAGTCATACAATACAGTTTTACGAAATAGCTTAAGATATTTTATATATAAGCTTTATCTGGGAAGTAGGAATAAATGTGTTCCGTCTTTCTTCTTTTTACAGATGATGAGTGCGGAGAACGCCCGTGTGGTGCCAATGCTCATTGCTTCCGTGGTCGTTGTGAATGTCTCGAGGGCTACACGGGTGACCCTTACCGTCAGTGTAGTCGCACAGGTACGTTTTTTTTCGCTGCCTCACTATCTACAAAATATGTTTACGCGAAAACGAGAGTTACGGTAACATAAAATCTAAATTGAAAGAAAAATAAATACACAAAGGTCATAGCACGTATTTCTGCTAATTAGCATATTGGCCATCATAGGGTTTGCAGGTTAACTACCGTGAAGTAGGTTAGCTGCAAGGAACCCTGCTTGGTCAAAATAGAACGCCTTGTTTTATGGAGTTAAAAATGGACGTATAAATTTTTAACTTTTTGATGGTGGAGTGTTCATTCATACATCTCGGGAGACCTGATAAAGCACAAAAAATGTGATAGCCAAAAGAATGCTCCTACATTCACGCTTTTTGTTGATATTTTTGAGATCGCACCTTAAGCATTCTTAACTTGTTTATGCTTTCTTGTGTAAGAAACTTTAGATTCAAGGTCTCTTATTCTTCCAACGTCTAAGTATACACTTATTTCCACGCAGTGATCATTAGTAGCTAATGGCTATTCTTTAAAGTCAGAAATGCTTAGATTATGCGTGCTTTGGAAAATCAGCAGTGATCTCTCCATTCATCTTATGGACTAATTATATTCTCAGACCATTCTGCCTACTGAGCCTTTTGAAGACGTAGAGGCAAACGGTCTGTGGTGTAAAATATGATCCGGCTATAATCCAGCAAACTCAGTTGTGTAACTTTCAGCGGTCTTCTTAGAATGTAAGACAGTTAGAGCAAGAGCACGACACTAATACAGTCAATGCTCTAAACAATTGAGCTACAAGGCTCCGAACGGGATCCATGGAGTCAACCTGATTTGAGTTAAGTTACTCGCATAGAATCCACTAATGCAGTCGAAGCTGGACAGCTCAATTGATAAGGGCGGGGGCGGTCCGAAAACCTTGCTCTTACTGTCGTGGGTTCGAACACAACTGAACCGGCCGAGTTTTCACAATCGGGAGGAGTTTCGGCAATTAGCTCGTGAATTTTTCTGACCTCCCAGCAGGCCCTTGATTTGCACACTTGTGTTTGGATCGGAAGTGAAGCAGGATTTGAAGCAGTACATATAGGTGCTGATGAGGTCCTAGATTTACTCTTAACCGTCGACGGCAGTATAATCTTCAGGCAATTGACCGCCTATTTTTCCAACAGCTAATATTTGAGGCATTTTATAAAGTGTGCTACTGCATCGGTT